AGAACCAGAGAGACGAAGGAACGAGCGTGAGAGAGAGAGAGAGAGAGAGAGAGAGAGAGAGAGAGAGATTGCATTAACCCATGCAGAGAGAGGTACACGAGGAAGTATGTGTTATGAGAAACTGATGTCTTTAACTTATGGTCTGAAAGAGAGAGACAGAAAGCATGGGTCCATGAGCTTACTGTTGCTGTAGAAGACAAGAATTTCTCTTCATATAATATTGTTGACAAAACTGCGTTGCTGTCTGTTTCATTTATTTACACATTTCACAGTGGGTGGTTGACGGGTGCTCTGGTGTGGTTTGCTTCTTCTTTCCTGTCAAACATCTATCGCCTTTATCTCCCCTTCTTCTTTTTTATGTTTGTTACTCTCTTGTAACACCTAATCTTCTGGCGCTCATATGACCTTAGGCACTTATTGTCTGAAAGAGAGAGACAGAAAGCATGGGTCCATGGGCTTACTATTGCTGTACAAGACATAATTTTCTCTTCATGTTGTTTTAAAACATGTGTCGCTGTCTGTTTCATTTATTTACATACTTTTTACAGCTGTCGCATCTTCTCTGGAATCACAATCATCATCGAGGGCTGGAGAACGTACGCCCGCTATGAGGTGTGGCTCAGTGGCCTCTCTCTGGCAATGCTGTACATGACGGTCCTCGGCTTCGACAACGTCACTGTGGGTACGTCCGTCACGCCTCAGAAGTGTGTGGGGGGGGGAGGGGCAACGAAAAGATAGTTTGGTGGAGGAAACATGGCTCTGCTCCTATTATTCGTCCTTGTCCTTCACTAGATCCCTTTTTTCTCCTCGTCGTCGTCTTACTTCTCCTCTCCCTCCTTCTCTGCGTCCAATGCCCTTAACACATTCCCCTGCTCCCCCTCATTCACCATCAACAATCACTACTCACGCCTATTCTTTTTTTTCTCTTGTCCTTCTTCTTGTTCCTTGTTCTTCAAAGCTTCCTTACTCTGCTCCTTGTTCTCCATTTGACGATTTTAGCATTCAAAACTGCTTTCTTTTCCTTTCCTTTGTAATCATCATCAGCAGCAGCATCGGCAGCAGCATCATAATTCTCAACATCAAGCTATACATTTACTTACGAATGCACTTTTGACTGTTTCCTGCTTAACTACACCAAAACTTTCCAATATGAACCAAATGCCTGTTCTGTTCACCCTTAATGTTTTTTTCGTCCGCTAACTATATTGAGTAGGCTACCCCAAAAAAAGGCCAGACACAATTAGAAGGGGAAAAAGAGCTTAGAATTTAAAAACTAGTAAATCCATGATATTTTAATCGTCGTAACCGCTCCTATTATTTTTCTTCCACCACCACCCC